TCTATGATTACATTAATATGTATAAAAATTCAGTTACCTACAATTATGTTATTATACGAGGAAATTATGTTGTAATCTTGTAACAGGCCCCTTTTCCCCAGCCTTTGTTGCTGGATATCTGATTGTTTAATCCTTTCTAGCTTTTAGCATTGAACCTTAATTCAAACTTTATTGTTGAATGAACATAGTTCTTCATTACTTCTAAATCCTCAATATGTTAGAACTTGTCACACACACCAACCAAGTTGCAATGTGTAAAAAATTCAAGCAGCCTGCCATTTAAATGGCAAGAATTCTTTGAAGTGGCCCATTGGTTCAGACATTTCTCAAAGGCAATAGCAAGATCAATCACTTGCTTTGGTCTTTACCCGAAAAAGGAGATGTCGAGTAAATTGTTCGGGGTAAGCAGGACTCCATGGTATAGGATGGTCATCAAAGTTTATGCCACCTGATATAAGGGACACAAGCATGTTTTTACCCCCAACAAAGGACATAAGGGATATGTGAAGACACGTGATGCAACTTTGATCTATGAAATCAAGAAAAACTTCAACCACCAAACGAGACAATCTCTTGGAAAAGAAGCATGCCAACATTTTCTCAAAAGTTTGTAGCAAGAAATGAGTCATACCAATGCATTCAAATGAAGTGCAGTGAAGATGCTGCTATCTTGAAGAAATTTATAGAAAATGATTGGATTATGATTTTCTGGTGGTTTGAATAGGGAATCCGATATGGTAAAAGTTCGAATATTGGACAAGAAAGAATTACCTTCACTGAATGAAACAATATACCTCATTCATCTTGCGGAGAATAAGAGCATACTTATTTTAGAATCACAATCTGTAGAAAGCTCAGCTATGATTACAAAGATGAATAGGGGCACAACCAAGGCAGCAGGATTAGAATTCACTAGTAAGAAATCCAAATAGCCTAGATCTAAAGGGATAAATATACTATTATTATATTTAATATGTATTATGTTTTGTCTTTATAACTAATATTATATTTGAACTCTTACTTTATTTTATTCTCCTCAAATCTCTAACGAGAATTCAAATATTATGTCTGAATGTATTTTTCAGAATAACTCATTAACATAAACAAAAGACTCGAAAAAAGAAAGCATAGTTTTGTGCTTTTTAAAAAAGATTAGCAATTAAAGGAATCAACTTTAGAAACTAATAAATGAGAAACAAGGCATTTTTAGCCTACGTGAGAAATAAGAAATGTAATGACATAACAAAGTGATGTAGGAAAAAGAGAAGCTGAATACAAAACTTAAAAAAAAATTATTAAGACCCAAACTTTATCCGAAAAAGAGATTTCGGATCTGAATAAGCAAAGCAATCTCTCGATATTTGAATAATAATTCATCAAAATGTTTACTTAATAAATAAGTTAAAGTATAAATAGACACCAAAATACATGAAAAATAGAAAATATAAAAATCTAGTAAATAGGGAAATAAATGCCATAGAAAGATTTAGGAAAATAGGAAATCTAGGAAATAGGAATATAAATCTTCTTATTCCTTTTTTGTAAAAATTTCCAAAAGTTGGAAAAGGAAATTAAATTTTTCAATTCCTTTTAGTCAACTTCCCTAAACCTTCAGGTTCCTTTATTGGTTCCACTGCAGATTTCTGTCAGAAACCTTTGACATGGATTCTGATCTAAAGGGAAAAAAAAAAGAAAAATAGAATAGAGAAAAAGGAGAGAAAAGAGATAACTTTAGAGGTAAATAATTCTGATTTTATTTCATGATTACAAGCATAGAGATTGAGCCTTTTATAGGCTTTTAATACAATAATATCAAACAGTCTTTTTGGCAGGAATTGTGCCACCGTTTCATGTTGCAGCGGCGGCTACGGGATGATGGTAACGTAGCGTTGGAAAGTGTTGACAGTTTGTAACTGAACCATATATCAAATAGAACATAACTACAAGAACATGATTAACTCCATTCACGTGTTAAATCTATCAAGCCCTCCTCTTACTCAAACACGCTTGTTTTCCAATAACAACTTGCAAAAATGAATAGAGACCAAAAACTTGAGCAAAGTAACCCCAAAAAGTAAGAAAGCACTTCTAAAAAGCTCGAGAGTCATTTTGCAGTGGGGCTCCGGGGTTTCGTCGACTAGGAACTTCTAAGTCTAATGCTGGATGCAGTGGCAAGCACCTCCAGATGGTGGCCAACAAACAAGCTGACCTGCTTTTTTGGTTCAAGATTGTTTTTTTTTTCATGAAGAAGAAAGAGAGAGAGGTGTTTATGCACAAAGCAGATGGAATATTTTGGGAAATGAACTGCTTAAGAATTTAGGGAAACGTGACTGAATCGAATTAGTCTCTAATGACAATTGATGTAGGATAAAGAGATGTTGAATATAGAACTTAAAGAAATTTTATTAAGAACTAAACCTAGAGATCCTGGATCTCAATAACCAAAGCAAAATTTCAATATTTGAACAATAATTCACCAATGGTTTACCTAATAATTAAGCTAAGATACCTTATATATAGGCACAAAAATACATCAAAAATAGAAAATTTAGAAAACCTAATAAATAAGAAATAAATAAATAGAGAGAATAAGAAAAATAGGAAATCTAGGAAATAAAAAAAATAAATCTTCCTATTCCTTTTTTGTAAAACTTTCTAGAACTTAGAAAAGGAAATTAAATCTTCCTATTCCTTTTAGTTAATTTCCCAAAACCTTTAGGTTCCTTTATTGGTTCTGCCACATTTATTGTTGAAATATACTCATTTTAGGAGCTTACTATTCTGCATCACATAGATGCCAAAACATAAGACTTGATGAAACAAAAACATATGACGGACAAGTAAGGTAGGGCAGTTGCTAACAAGAGATCTAATTAACTCATAGTCCTCAATGAACTCAATGAATCAATGCATGGATGTGTTGATAAGAACAAGATGTTATATCTGAATGTATTATGGCATTTACCTTTACTGTAATTCTACTGTGTATTAGTAGGAGTTTCGGATGCAGACTGGGCAGGATGCCCAAAAAACCATCAGTCCAGCACAAGATATTGCATATTTCATTATAATTTGAACTTTTGGTGCTGCAACAAGCAGACTACAGTATCTCATTCCATTACTAAGGCCGAATATCGGGTTATTCCTGTGGTAATCTCTAACATTTCCTAATTACAAAACATGCTCCAAAAGTTTTATTTACTTTAGCCAAACCTCTTATCTTATTTTGTGACAATGCCAACGCCACTTATAGGGTCTCTAATTTGGTCAATCTTGCTCTTTCTAAGCATGCTGAACTGGGTATTCATCTTGTTCATGGGA